TTGCTCGAGGCGACTTCTGGCGTGGAGGACAGGAAGGCGGGTGGGGAGGCGGGTATTGCTTTGAGGGAGAGTCCCCCTCCCTACAGGAAGCCACGACCACGTGTCACGGCAGGGAAAACGGCCACGGATCCTGTTCGTCACCCGATGCGGAGTTCGTGAACGGAAGCAACATTTTGCGAATGGTGCTGTTCATGACCCGAATTGGTCGTGAACTGAAGCGTTCGTGACCCGAGGTACCACTGTACATTTAAATCAGCTGTTTTCTTCCGCTCTCCTCCAGCAGGTGGCGCCATCGAGAGTGGCACCCCAGACGCCAATTCCCTGCGTGCTGCCTCCGCATTGTCCAAACCACGCAGTGGGGTGAAGCCCGGCCCTGAGATCTATGGGCTCAGGCAAGGCTCAGGCGGGCCGCCGCTCAGGAGGCCCATAAAGACTGAATCAGAGCCTCTCCCCGGCGGGAACGACGTCACCGACGTGAGTCAGATCAAGATCGTTCAGGTCGAGAAGAAGCACGTGTGCCACGACTGCGGGAAAGCCTTCCAGTATAAATTCGAGTTGGTGAAGCACCACCGGACCCACACGGGGGAGAAGCCTTTCGAATGCCTGGCCTGCGGGAAGCGGTTCTTCCAGAGCACGCACCTCAACGCCCACCTGCGCATCCACACGGGGGAGAAGCCCTATGAGTGCCCCCGGTGTGGGCGGAGCTTCAACCGGCGCTCCACCCTGACGGAGCACCTGAGGATCCACACCGGGGAGAAGCCGTACAAGTGCCTCCAGTGCGGGGAGAGCTTCCGCTGGAGGCCGTACCTGACCAAGCACCAGAGGGTCCACCTGGGAGAGAGCACCTACAGATACTTCGACAGCGGGGACGGCCTTTATGACAGCTCTTCCTTCCCGGAGCATCAGGAAGAAAGCCAACCAGGTAAGCGGGTGTTGGACCTTCGGGGTAGCCAGACAAGAAGCACAACTAGGAGTACCAACTCTATGGTAAGGTTACATTAACACAGTGTTTCTCAACCTTGGCCACTTGAAGATGTGTGGACTTTAACTCCCAGAATTCCCCAGGCGGGGCGGGGGGGG